TTCAAGGATGGACTCCAAGTGAAACTGTTGGATGTATCATGACAATGGGATGTTGGACTCTCTGCCATTGTCAGTGCCCTCAATGATGGACTTACGACTGTTTATGAAGAACTATGCTGTTGTAATGATATGGGAGAACTCAGTGGGGGGAGTGGGGACAAAGGGAGAGTAGGGGAAATCCTAGGGCCAATGGAACTGTATCATAAACTGCTAATAATAACTTTAAAAAGGAGAGAAACATTTTTTAAAAATTTGCCTTTCCAATAAAAATGAATCAATCTTCAAATACTGCAATGACAAGGACTAGGCCAGGCTGAAGCCAGGTGCCTAGAGCTTCTTCTGTATCTCCCATGTGAATAGAGGTTCCCAAACACTTGGGTCACCTTCTGCTGCTTTCCCAGAGACATTTGCCAGAAAGCTGGATCAGAAGTAGAGCAACCAGGTCTCAAATTGGTGCCCATATGGGACACTGTTATTACATGTGTCAGCTTAACTCACTATGCCATAATGCCAGCCTCAAACTAAACAAGCATTTTAAAGCATGCATTTGTTTAAGTGGCAGAGAGTTGAGAGTTCCAATTTGCTGAGTCATTTCCCAAATGCCTTTAAAGGCTGGTACTGTGTCCGGAGAGGAATCCAGGTCTCCCAACCACTTGAGTCAACATCTATATTTTCTAGAATCTGGTCAGCGACAGTGTAGGACCCTGAACTCAGACTCCAGCATGACACAGGTATCTTAAACGCTAGGCTAAATGGCTGCCCCTGAAACATTTTCTGAATAAAATCAATGAAATATAAATCCAGAAAGCCCTTATACTACTTAAGTACCTTAAGCTCTAAACATAAGTCTAAACCCATTACTTGATCAGTCACTTTTGACAGGTGGAATGCTGAGATAGGTTATCTTTCGCCCACTGACTTTCACTAAAACAAAGGCTGCTGACTGGCCCTGCTGCAGGTGTTTGGCTAGATCACAAGGAATCCAAAACCTCACTTCCATTTCCTCCTTCAATAATGAAGCACAGGGCCCAGCATGACAGTCCTAGCCTTGCACATGTTGAGCTCCCATATGGGCAATGGATCTAATCCTTGTGGCCCGGCTTCCCATACAGCTCCCTGTTTGTGGCCTGGGAAGGCAATCAAGGACGGCCTAAAGTCTTGGGTACCCTGAAACTGCATAGGAGACCTGGAAGAGGCTCCTGACTCCTGGCTTCGCATTGATGCAGCTCGGCCTTTGTAGCCATTTGGGGAGTGAACCAGCAGATGGAAGATCTTTCTCTCTGTCTCTCCTCTGTAAACCTGCCTTTCCAATAAAAATAAGTAAATCTTAAAAAAAAGAAAAGAAAGAAAGAAATCTGGGGTGGGAAGCTATAAAATAGGAGCAAAGTGGCCGAAGAGCTATTTCCACTTAAATAGGACAATTCGGTTTCCTGAAATTTGAGTAAGCAATTCCCCAGCAGATTCCAGAAACTCTTTGTTGCTTACTAAGCTTGACCAGAGCACCAAGCCAAGGAAAGGCAACACTAGAGCAGTGCTCACTTTTAACTACACATTGGCAGCATGTACATGCAAATATATGTGGCTTTCTGCCAAATACCATCAAGAGGCCAACAGAAATGTCCAGAAGATTAGCAATCCTTTGCCACCAACATGACCATATCATATGGCAGTCAAGAGCAACATGATATATTTAAAAAAATTTATTTATTTGAAAGGAAGAGTTGCAAAGGGAGGTAGAGACACTCACAGAGAAAGAGACTTTGCACACACTGGTTCATTCCCCAAACGGCAGTGATAAGTGGGTGGCAGGGGTCGGAATAGTTAGGCCATCTTCTGCTGCTTCCTCAATCATGTTAACAGGAAGAAGGATCCAGTGCAGTAGGCAAGATTTTTGCCCTGCTATTATAGGATGCTAGATTAACCCACTGAGCCACAAAGCTAGTGCCAATATGCTTTAATTTCACGTTTTTCAAACACCACCTCCATTTTCTTCAACTCTGAATGCACATGTTCCTAATGAACAGAACTCACTACTCACTGTTCCTTTCTCATAGCTGCAGTTTCACAAATTATGTTCAGAGAATTCCCATTAACCCAAACATTTAAAACTCAGTGAAAAATTTGATACTACCGGGCCCAGTGCGGTGGCGCAAGTGGTTAAGGTCCTCGCCTTGCACGCCCGGGAGCCCATATCGGCGCCGGTTCTATCCTGGCAGCCCCGCTTCCCATCCAGCTCCCTGCTTGTGGCCCGGGAAAGCAGTCGAGGACGGCCCAAGGCTTTGGGACCCTGCACCCGTGTGGGAGACCCGGAAGAGGCTCCTGGCTTCGGACCGGCATAGCATTGGCCGTTGCGCTCACTTGGGGAGTGAATCATCGGACGGAAGATCTTCTGTCTCTAACTCTCCTCTCTGTATATCCGCCTTTCCAATAAAAACATAATAAAAATAAATCTTTTAAAAAAATTTGATACTACCATAAATGGAAATTGCTAACTGAAACCTGAAAAGTATTTGCAGAGATTTTTTTTGCTGTAATTAGCATGGAAAATTCATGCTCAAAATTATAGCCTGCACTAACCTGCAGCATCCAGTGTGTTTGGTTTGGTTTTCCTTGTTGTTTTTGTTTTAAGTTGTGTTTGAGAGCTTTTAGAAGTTCCAGTATGCTTTCTCACAGATTCCAACACTCACTCCCAGCCGAGAACAGTGAGCCTCATTTGAGCTACTGGGTCTGGCCTGATTCAAATGTGTAAACCCTGCAATTTTAAGTGAGGATGTTTAGCCACTGATGCGGACTCTGAGATGACTCTGGAAAATACTTACAGGGTCCTGGACATGTGCTGCTCAGTGATGCACACATCACAAAAAGTAAACAATGAAGCAATTTCCCAAGGCCAGCACCAGTTTCCATTTCCCAAAGTTTCCAAGGGTTGAAACCTCATCAGATGTCATCAACCACCCCAATTTTTATCCTGGGAGGGAATCTGACCACAGCCTTCAGAGATAAAGTAAACTTGTCCAAGACCAGACGCTAATCGGGGGAGGCAGAAATGTTCTCATGCTTTTGCTTCCCCAGCCAGACAGAGTTCACAGAGGGTGAGAAGGATTTCTGATCATTCCCAGCCACTCATGGTCAGTGTTATACACTCAGGACGGATTCAACATGTGGTAGTGAGACGTACTTCCGTGAGAGGCAGTCGGTAATCTTTATGAAAGTGTCAGAAAGGACAGATCTCTGATCAGAGGTCACATGAAATGAGTGACCATGGTTTTGATTTTGAGGGAGATTCAGAGTCAGCAGATCCTCATGCGGATGAAGGAGCTAAAGGCACTCCACTCACTGATATTGAACATTTTACACAGATACTGACTTAACCAAGGCTATTTCACGTGAGAAACGGACTCATACTTCAGTTAAAGGTGCTCAGTTAAGTCAAATGACAAGATAGGCTCAACTCAGTAAGCCATCAATGATTCAGTTAACTACATCCATTGTCATTGCGCCTTCCTTCTTGGAATAAGGCTCAGACTGCATTCCGATGTTGTCTGCAGTGATCCACAAAGACAAGGCTTTAGCACATCTTCCACAACAGCCCTCTGCAGCAACGTTTTTTCTTCACGTAGCCTGCAGCGGGACGTGGCACCTGGTGATACACACACCCCCACTGTGCCATTTGGAAGCCTTCACTCTGAGGCCCAGCAGGCTTGCAGGAAGCACTGGGGTTCACAGTGACTTCCTATGGTTTCCTTTGCTGATTTCTTAAACCTTCAGGATCACTGTCCATGTGGCTGGGGAGCTCTTACACTTGGATCACGTTCCTCTGAACTCTACCACGTGCCGCCCAAGTTCTAACGGCGGGGAAATCTTTTTTTTTTTTTGCTACCTTTCCTCCTTCTCTTTTCCATTTTATCTTCATTTCTCTTCCACCCACAACACAACCTCAGATAGATTCTCTTGCCTGTTCCGAGGCCAAGGGGCAGGGTGGAAAGAAACCAGTGAGATCCTGCACTGAAGATAAACAGCAGGGGGTGGTGGCTGAGGAGGAGCAGCTACATTTACAGGTCTGCTTTGGCTTTCACAATGTCACCTTTTCCCTGCTCTGGAATGCCAAAACATCTGCAAAGGTCACTCTGTTTAAGGTGTTCCTTCTCTCTTCAGGTATAGAATGTGAAGGAGGGGCAGAGAGCAGTGAGCTGGTTCGTATATTGGAAAGGTGACTAGCAGAGAGCGTGCGCATGTCCGGGAACACCTGCTGGCCTCTGCGTTGGTCTCACAGGTGTGCCACCTGAGCATGTGAAGGCACTCAGGACCCTCAGAGGGACCGTTACCGCTGAGGCTGGGACCCAGCGCTGGGGCGTCTTCTGCACAGCTTCTCAGATCCTGGCAGGTGTCGGCCCAGTTGTCCCTAACGGGTGACTGACATCACCCGTGTGTCCCATCCTTCTCCTACCCAGCTTTCTCCTCTTCCCTGTTTCATTTTCCTTAGAACCCCAGGGTTCTGCTTTCTGAGGGGATTTCATGGTAAAAGTAAAGGAGACAGATACACAACGTGGAGAACGCGTGCAGCATCTGCCCCCTGGCTTCAGCTCAAAAGTCTACTGACCAAGGATCAGCACACAGCTCCGTTATCATCTCCCACCACATGCCGAAAAGAGGAGGAGCCCATACGGAACTAGGGCTTCAGTACATTTCTTGAAGCACCTTTAGAGCCAGAAAAGGCAATTTGAGAGAGAGAGAGGGAAAAACAAAAACTCCCTCTGCTCTTCCATGTAGCTCATAAACATTCAAGACTATTTCCACAAAGAAAACAATACACCTGAGGGGACGGAAAAGCAAAATGTACCACTGACTCTGTGTGTCCTCGTGGTCCACTCCACCCCCTGGAAGAGCTGGGTAACAGGAAGAATCTTTTAAAGTTGGTTTACAGCTCCGTGGCCGGGCACAGAACTGGGCGGCTAATCATTCTCTAGCCGAGGAAGGCAAAGGCACAAAGATTTACTCACACGTCGTTGAACTCCTCCAGAGACCTTGCAGGTGTGAAAACATCCAAAAGACCAATCACCTAGAGGAAAACATAAAAGGCAAACAGTAGGTAAACATGGAGCTTGATAGGCTTCTCATGGGTTCTTAATCATTTTAAGTGGAACCAATTCCCAAGCAGCACACACTAAAACAACATCAATGGATTTTCCATCCAAATTACGGCTCTGGCTTTTACTTGTCAACATTATTAGTCGTAACAATCTACTATATGAAAACTTTTAACTCTTTAGGATTTGTCATATCTAGATAATAGTGAATCAGATTTAGAGTTTCTGTTTTACATGTGTGTGAAGTCTAATGAATAAAATAGCTAATCAGATTTTCACAGCTGTTATCATGGCATCTTACTTTTTAAATTTTATTCTATAAAAAAGTTCAAATTACATAGCCTTCAACACTGACAATTTTAAAGTCCTTAAGTATTATCTCAGTACATTCATGATATTATTTTCATATTTTTTTAAATTTAAAAACAATTTTATTAATCATCATCAGACATTTTGATCAAATGATCAAAACATGAATTTAAAATGCTCTCTTCATGGGCCTGACACAGTAGCCTAGTGGCTAAAGTCCTCGCCTTGAACGCACTGGGATCCCATATAGGCGCCAGTTCTCATCCCAGTGGCCCTGCTTCCCATCCAGCTCCCTGCTTGTGGTCTGGGAAAGCAGGAAAGGACGGCCCAAAGCCCTGGGACCCTGCACCCGTGTAGGAGACCCCAAAGAAGCTCTGGGCTCCTGGCTTCAGAGCAGCTTAGCTCTGACCACTGCAGCCACTTTGGGAGTGAATCAACAGAAGGAAGATCTTCTTTGTCTCTCCTCCTCTCTGTATATCTGTCTTTCCAATAAAAATTAATAAATCTTAAAAAAAAATGCTTTCTTCATGAGAAAGCAAAGAGCTACTACAATCTGTAATACTCAGTAATCCACAATCTTTGCATAGGTTTTTTGATCATGAATTTACACTAATTTACCATACAGAGGACAACTTATCCCAGGTCCCCTAAAACTTCTCATTGTTACAGTTAGCTGTCAAAAAGGAAAATAAATAATATTATCATTCATTTGTGTTGTCCTAGCCAGAGTGAAGGACATCTGGATACAAAACGAAAACAATTCTCTTGATAACTGAACCTGTGAATTTTCCTACTAGCCTGTGACTCTAAATAACCAAATTAAACAGCCCCCAAATAAGATAAATCACCACTCAACACATTATCAAGGAAGAGGATATGAACCTGTTCATTCAGATACCAGACATTTCCAAAGCAGCTTTTGCCTTGGTGCTGCTGCCTCAGGGAAGGAGGTGTTGGCCTTGGAGCTCAGGAACACATCTACATGTTCTTACAAATTGTTACAACGGAAAGATGTAGTCATCCTGAGATCCTCACCTGAGCAACTGCGTGCAAGAAAACGCAAATCACCTCAACCGTCCCAGCCATTAAACTGCTACTAACAGTCTCCATACATGTCCTTTGATTATTCTGACGCATATAAACTAAATTGAGAATTTCATTATGCATATAGTTTTGCTAAACAGATGACCACTCTGCTACGCTTAAACATATAACGATAACATTTACATGCACACCATCGGTTATTTGTGTTTAACCAAAACAGAATGCTAATATTTGGTAACTTCTCTGAGCCCCATTTTCTTTAAATGAAAGAAAATGGGTTAACATTATTTTTTTTTAAGATTTATTTATTTTTATTAGAAAGGCAGATATACAGAGAGGAGGAGAGACAGAGAAGCAGATCTTCTGTCTGATGATTCACTCCCCAAGCGGCCGCAACGGCTGGAACTGAGCCAACCCAAAGCCAGGAGCCAGGAGCTTCCTCCAGGTCTCCCATGTGGGTGCAGGGTCCCAAGGCTTTGGCCCGTCCTCAACTGCTTTCCCAGGCCACAAGCATGGAGCTGGAGGGGAAGTAGTGCTGCCGGGAATAGAACCGGCAACCATATGGGATCCCAGGCGTGCAAGGCGAGAACTTTAACCACTATGCTATCGTGCCGGGCCCTACCTTTTTTTAAATTTCTTTAAAAGGAGAAATGGTTAATTTATTTTTCATACAGCAAGGTCATCTTTATGAAACAAGCTATGTTATATCAAAGCACTTGTAGGTTTTTGGAGTGTTTTTCTGGTGGGGAGGGGGGACTTAGACAATTCCCACCTATTAATCCTTTATAAATAGAGAGGTCATCGAAAGAAAAATACTGTGAAACACAACTTTTCAGCATTAAAGTAGATCTTTAGAATATTCTGGGACTATTGTATCTTTTCTTACATAGACACTTCCTTTCCTAAAAAAAAAAAATACATATTTACTTTTACGTGAAAGGCAATTATAGAGAGGAGAGGCAGAGAATGAGCTTGCATCTGCTTTCTACTGTGCCAAGGATCACAACAGCCCGAGCTCAACTGACCCGGAGCCACCAGGCAGGAGAGTGCCCCGGCCTTCCCACGTGGGTGTCGGGGCTCAAGGCCTTGGGCCACCCCCTCTGCTGCCTTTTCAGGCCATTGGCAGGGAGCTGGATCCTTAGTAGGAGAGGATTATATGGTTTCACACAACACCGGCCCCACAGATTTCCTTTTAATTCAAGCCTTATCTTAGCTTATTCAATTGTTTTTCCTGTCATTATGTGATTTCAGTCTCTTCTCTTTGTAACTTTGCCCTTAAATAAAAATAAATCTTCAAAAAAAAAAAAGACATTTATAAGATGAATGAACAGTATATATCTCTAATGGTTTTCTAACACAGTCCAAAGTCTAACAAACAGAAGTAATACATTTTTCCAGTTTGGCACATACCCCTGTAAAATATTCAATAACCAAATAAGGACATTATATAATGTCTTAAATATATTCGTACTAGAACAACCACCTGGGGCCCGGTGCGGTGGCCTAGGAGCCAAAAGTCCTCACTTTGCATGCACCAGGATCCCATTTGGGTGCCAGTTCTAATCCTGGCAGTCCCACTTCCCGTCCAGCTCCCTACTTGTGGCCTGGGAAAACAGTCGAGGATGGCCCAAAGCCTTAGGACCCTGCACCTGCATGGGAGACCTGGAAGAGCCTCTGGGGACCTGGCTTCGGCTTGGCTTAGCTCTGGCCGTTGTAGCTGCTTGGGGAGTGAATCAACAGATGTAAGATCTTCCTCTTTTTTTCTCCTCCTCTCTGTATATGACTTTCCAATAAAAATAAATAAATCTTAAACATTAAATAAGATAAAACAACCACTTGGTCTACTATGTGAAATGTTACATCTAGGGTCCTACATGAAACCTTGAATGAAAGGATTCCTTTAATTATTTCTTCATTTCAAAAGGTACCTGTCTCCAGGCCCAGAGGCAGGCAGTCTGTAGATCAGTGCAGAGACCAAAACGACACAGCTGGCAGGCTGCCTGTCTTTCTTTCCTCCTTAGAGGAGGTGTTAATGAGATGAGGAACTGGCAGTTCACTTGGCTCAAAGAGCAGTTCTCATAATCACCGGGCACAGCTCTAGTCACTGCTGGAACCAACGCTCAGCTGTTACTTCCTCGGTTCAAGATGAATCACTGATTCAGGGTTGGAGATAAGTATTTTTGGGTGAAAGTTCGCTTATGTATTTGGGCACCAATAAATCTGATTTTTTTTTTTTTTTAAAGATTCCTTTTTATTGGAAAGTCAGATATGCAGAAGAGGAGAGACAGAGAGGAAGATCTGTCCGATGGTTCACTCCCCAAGTGAGCACAATGGCTAGAGCTGAGCCAATCCGAAGCCGGAGCCTAGAGCTTCTTCTGGGTCCCCCACGCTGGTGCAGAGTCCCAAGGTTTTGGGCTGTTCTGTACTGCTCTCCCAGAACACAAGCTGGATGGGAAGTGGAGTTGCCAGATTGGGATCCTGGTGTGTGCCAGGCGAGGTCTTTAGTCGCTAGGTTACCATGCCAGGCCCAACAAATCTGATTTGCTACTAACACTTAAACTGTCCGTAGTTTTAATCTGCTGCCATTGTCTTTGGACGTCTGGTGGCTACCAAAAAGTTGGATGGTGATCTAAAACAATTTTTTTCTTAAGAAAATGGGGTTTTGGCACACAGTTTATAAAAACTGTTGTACATCAGAAAGCCTGGCTCCAGTCCCAGTTCTGCCTTCATTACCAGCTTCCTGCATACCCTGGGAGGCAGCAGGTGATGGCCAAAGTCCTTGGCTCCCTGCCACTCATGGGGAAGACGCAGACTGACTTCCTGGCTCCTGGTTTCAGCCTGGCCCAACCCTGGCCGGCTGTCTGGATCATTTGGGAGTGAACCAGAGGGTGGGAGATCTCTGTCTTTCATCTCTCCGCCTGTCAAGTAAACAGGTTTTTTAAAAGAAGGAAATAGAAGAGGATCAAGAGGAAGCCTGCTAAAAAAACAAAAAATCCTTAAGCTTACTGGAAGTCTTAGTTTAACTGGATTAAACTACTTTAACATGGTAAGCATTTTGCAAATGTTTATAGAATGGCCTGAAATGCAGGAATTTTTCTATTTGAAGGGGCGTGGAAGTGGCCCAAAGACTTCCATTCTCCTTCAAACATTCATCAAAATACAGAACCATGAGATGTTCAGCCATACATGTCTTCCTTCCTCCAAGCAACAGACCACTAAGTATAGCTAGCAACTCTCTCTTGCTAAAGTATTTTCTTAAAACAAACAAACAAACAAAAAAGGTATAGTGACAGAGATCTTCTAGCTGCTGGTTCATCCCCCAGATAATGGTAAGAGTGGGGCTGGGCTAGGCCAAAGCTATGAGCACAGGGCTCTATACAGGTTGCAAAAATGAGTGTAGAGGGCCAAGCACTTGGGCCAGCTTATGTTGCTTCCCCAGGCTCATTAGCGGGGAGCTGGCTGGGAAGCATAACAGCCAGAATGGTTCCAATACGGACTGCTGGCATCACAGGAAGCATCTTAATTTGCTGTTGTCACAGGATGGTCCCAAATCTAAATAGCTTAAAAAAGGTGGACAGCTAAACATGCTTGTGTTTGTGGTTATCCACAAAGTCAGAGCACAGACTCAGATCACCCCAAGTGCTGCCTGTTCTGAATGCTGGCTTAAACTGTCCATGAAGAAAAGCAAATGGTAAAGTATAGCACAGGCAACACTGTGGGGCCTTCTGAAGTTGTCCTGGGCGTCTATATATTTAATCTGCATTGCATTTTAAATGCTATTTGCACTTCTAAAAAGCCATGTCTCTGTCAGGTTTATTAATGTGCAATGAAAAAACAGTAACACTCCCAAACATGTTAAAAATCAAAAGTAAATACATCAGTTCCAGGCCACTTTGATTTTATGCAGACCTAGAAATAATGTATTCTCTGCCAGCTTTTTCCACATAGCTCAACTTGTTGTAAACATGTTACTGATTAGGAAGGCTGCAGTTCTGCCCAAACTTTTAAAAAAGCTCAGGTTTGCACATAGCTACTCATGTAATTTTATACTTGGGAGTGAAGGTTATCTCTAAGAAATAGGATTTTACCCAATAGCATTATGCAATCAAGATAAAACATGGAAACAAAAACGTGTAGCTGTCATTTTAATGCCATCCATAAGCCAATCACAACTGGGAGCCTTAATTGAGCCTTCTCAATTGAGAAGAAACTTGCAATAATAAAACAAATGTATACTAATAAAATGTCACTTTGTGACTTTTCTTCCCCCATTGGAGAAAAAAGTTCAATGATTAGAACAACCAAGCATGAATGGCAAAGTAATAAATTTACAGACTTTGAATTTCCTCTACAAAGAATCAGTAAAGCCATGTGATTCTAAAATCTCTATGGCTGCCAATTCTAGGGGACTATAGATTTTAGAGTCTCTTTCATATCTCAGCAATTCAGAGGAAAAATTTTTGAGTTGGAAAGTCAGGAAAGGGCCATTGTTAGGTCCAGTGCTGAAGGCATGGGCTGTGATACCTGAGTACCATACAGGAGTTGGGTGTCAAGTTCTGGTTCCAGGATCCAGCTTCATGCTGCGCAGACCCTAGCAGCAGGCAGGGCTAAAGTAACTAGATTTCTGCCACCCATTTGGGAGACCCGGACTGAGTTCACAGCTCCCAACTGTATTGTTCTCAAATTAGCAAACTGGTAGAAAAGGCTATACTTAATGTGTCTGTCACATTTATTATAGCAAAAAGCTGTATCTCAAAAGGTTTTAAAAAATTTTAAAAATCATAATATTAAAGCACAAAGATTCCTGAATATTTGTGGGGGATTGGTTCTAGAACCCCTGCAAACACCAGAAGGTGTAGGTCACTTACATAAAGTGCTGTGGCCTTTGGATATAACCTCCGCGTATCCTCTTTTATGCATCAAATCATCTCTAGATTACTTATAATAGCTAATACAAATATAGAGGCTATGTAAGTAGTTGCTATACTTTATTGTTTAGGAAATAATGACCAGAATAAAAGAGGCTGTACATACATTCAGCACAAAGACTTCTCTCCTCCGAAAAGATTGATTTATTTGCCAGGCCGAGTTACAGAGAAGGAAGGGGAAGGAGGGATATGCAGAGGGGGAGTACAGAGGTAGACAATAAGAGAGAGATTTCTTCCCCTCTGGTTTACTCCTCAAGTGGCCCCCAAAACAGGCAGGGCTGGACCAGGATGAAGCCAGGAGCCAGGAATTTCACCCAGATCTCTCTTTCAAAGGGGTCAAGTACTTGGACCATCTTCAACTGTCTTCCCAGGCAATTAGAAGACCTGGATTGGCAATGGAGCAGCCAAGACTAAAACTGATAACCATATGAAATTTAGCTTAACCTACTGTACCATAAGACCCACCCATAATTTTTTTTCCCCCGAAACAGTTTCACACCTTGGTTGGCTGACTCCACAGATGTAGAACCCATGAATATGGAAGGCCAACTGGAGACATTAATTAATAACCAATTTTGATAAGGCTTTCAGTGAGCCAAAGGCATTCTTCCTAAAATTCTTCCACCAAAATAACCCATGATAGTCACAAAAAGTCATAGTTTACAGTATTCTGAGAATATGGCCTTAAGCAAACCAAGCAAAAATTACAAAACTTCTTTATCTATTGAAAGGCAGAAAGAATCCTTCCCATCTGACAGTTCATTCCCTAATAACCTGCCACAGGCTGGGGAAGGAGCAGGCAGGGACAGGGGCCAGAACCAGAAGTCAGGAACATAGCCCTGGGCTCCGTTTTGAGTCACCACCCCTGTCTCCCAGGGTCTGCACTTGCTGGAAGCTGGAGTCAGGCGCCAGAACCAGGAAAAAAATATAGGTACTGCAGTATGCAACATGGGCTTTGCTAGGCTGAACACTGCTCCCCAAAACTGTTATTTTGTGGATCCTGTGCTGCCCTTCATAACATATCCTTAGAAAAGCTTTCCACAAAAATGCTTTCGTTCTAAAACACAAACAAAAATTCCAGAATAGCACCACAACTCCAGGAGGCCGCACCATTTTCTTTCCAAGCCTTTGCTTTGACCTAACCTAGGAGCTGTACACACCCCAGTTCAGGAAGTATAAGCCAGAATTGGATGCACTCCCAGGTATTCTCAAAGTACAAACATCCCCAGTTGTTCAAGAGCAGAATTCGCCCTCCCCGGATGCAGATGGAACTCACATTCTCATGTTTCATGTGTTTGAGCAGCCGCACCTCCCTGTAGGTCCTTTTGGCGTGGATGATGGACTGAAACGGCCGGGAGAGCTTCTTCACCGCCACACGCAACCCGATTTTTGTGTCGAAAGCAGCACTGAGGGGGAAGGGAAGGAAAGCAAAACAAGAAGCACTGCGTTACAAGTGTTCCAACTGTCATTTCCAAATTAAATAAGCCCGAAACAAAATATTGAAAAAGAGATGACCTGAAATCCCAACATCCAAAGAACACTCCTGTTATTCTTTTTGGTTTCCTAAATTTATCTCTTCATTTATTTATTTGAAAGTTAAAACTAGAAAGAACCTTGGTGATTCACTCCCCACTTATTGATTCATTACTCCCAAAGGACTGCAATAAGTAGGCCTGGACCACTCTGAACTCCATCCGGGCCCTGTGTATGTGAGCCATCCCCTGTTACATTCTCAGGTGCACCAGCAAGAAGCCGGATCAGAAACGGAGTGGTCTGGACTCCAGCCAGTGCTCATTTAGGATGCTGGTATAGTAGGGGACAGTTGAGCCAACTGCACCACAACATCAGCCCTATCTTTTTACCTTTTTTCTATGCATGTATAATAGGGATTTACAAAGTTTTTCCATAGCCAGATAGTAATATGAATATTTTAGACTGATGAGAACCCCATGGTCTCCATCACAACTGCTCAACTCTGCTTACAGTGGGAAAGTAACAACTGGTTTAAAACACAGGTGTGCTATGTTTAGGTGCCTGTCTCATCTGAAAGAGCCAACAGACAGATTAAACACACAGTTGCATTTTGTCTGTCTCCTCTGCTGAGGCCTCACTGTCACTTTGTCACCCCACACTGCCAGGTCACAGTTAAAGCCCCAGAAACCCCCATACTCTGGAGATACAGAGGAAGCACAACTATTCCTTGAGCACCTACAAAGGATTTGGCACTTTGTAGAAGATAAAGTATGGGAAGACACAAATCAATGAATCCCTGCTTGCAGGATGGGGTAAGAGGGAGAGCAGAATAATAATTTCCACTAGTGATAGGTACTATGGTTAAAACACAGTGATGGGATAAGGGGTGACCGAAAGACAGTGGTGTTACACCACGGGAGCTGAGGACAGAAGGATGAAAAAGCAGGAGCTACAAAGACCCAGGAAAGGGTTTCAAGCAGCAAAAATAACGGTTGTTATTAACAGTTTGAGTCTTCACCATAGACTGATTTTTATGAATTAATACATTTAATTCCCTCAATGGCTCCATGACATACCATCATTTTGCCACTCACAAACAGGGGTACTAAAGTCCACAGAGGTTCAACAACTTGCTCTGGTCTCAAAGCATGGCAGGACAGGCAGATGGGATCCAAAACGCCTGCTGCTGACCACTGAGCTAAGCTGTCAGTGCACACAAAAGAAAAAGGAACAGATCTGTGGAGGGCCTACTGAGGGCAGAGGTGGGGCTAGAGAGAGAAGGAGACCATGTGCGTGCAGAGGGAGCAAAGGAAAGACAGAGAGGGATGATGGCAGAGATGCAGGCAGCCCAGGCCATACAGATTATCTGTAGAGAGAGGAAAGACAGAAACATCTAAACTTTATTTTTAAAGATTAGTTTTTTAAGTTTATCTTAGAGGCAGAGTGACAGAGGAAGAACCTATCTTCCATCAGCTGGTTCACTTCCCAAAACAGCCACAAGAGCCAGCTATGTATGGGCCAGGCTTGAAGCTAAGAACGAGTGATGTCTCACAGCTCTCCAACGCAGGTGGCAGGAGACCCAAGCCATCACTGGCTGCTTTCCCAGGAGTATTGGCAGGAAGCTGAGTTGGGAGCAGAGCAGCCAGGACCCAAATGAACCCCTAACACCTACTGTCCTACAGAGGGGAACAAACAAGCATATTTTAACCACGTTTGTGAACTGTTTGGGCTAATTCCATCGTGCCTTACCCTCTTGGCCGTCTGTCAAATGGACATTAAGACATCCTAGTCATCTATCACTACTCAACGTTTCCCCATCTACCTTTCTTTACCATTCCATATTTACTCCAGGAGTTAACTTTCTTTTGCTATCAAATCCTTATGCTATATTCTCACTCTCCCAAATTGGTGATAAACTTCCATAAATCTTTTCCCTCTTGTCTAACTTGCCCTCTATGTCCTTGAGAACACAGGCTGTACCTTAAGACACAATTTCCTTTCCAGTCCTGCCACGTATTGTTTCCCTCACAACTATGACACCTCCAAGCTAGCACTACTCCTTGCTAACCACTGCTATTCCAACACCATTAATTCTCATGTTTCCCCCTAAATCTCATGCTCACAACCCTGATAAGCTCCCCTTCTTGCCACTGCTATCCATTGACCAGGAATTTTCCATAATTCATTGAGAATTCATTCCTATCTGAAAGTCTCTCTCCACTCCCAACTTCTGTCATCATTGTTGGCAACCTGAACTCCCAGGCGGAAGACATATCCAACATCCTTGTGGTTTCCTGGCCTCCCTAGGAAGTTCCACCTCCTCTTGCCACCTTCACAGTCGCACTCCAGTTCTCTGTCCCCACCAGAACTGTCCCACTTAGAAGACTATGGATGTCAGAACTCACTTTAAACAAAATTACTTAGTTTTATCTTTATTTATTTAAATGGCAGTGCAATAGAGAGATGGAGAAAAAGTAAAAGAAGAGAGAAATTTTCCATCTGCTGTTTCATTTTCCAAAAATGGCCACAACTGCTGGGTCTGGGTCAGGCTGCCACCAGGAACCAGGAACCAGGAATTCCAACAAGGCCTCCCCCAAGTGTGGCAGAAGGAGCCCAAGCACTTGGGCCATCTTCTGCTGCTTTCCCAGGAGCAATAGGAGGGAGTTTAGTGCAGAGCAGAGCAGCTGGGACTGAACTGACTCGCTGATGTAGCCAGGCAGTGGCTTAACCCGTTTACTGGACTAGAGAACCAGCCCAGAACTCACTTTCCATCACAACCCTCCTAGTCCTTTGAGTTTAGTGTTCTTGTACCTTAACTGCAACGATTTGTTCTGGATCAGTACATTCATAACCTTTGACCCCTCTTGCCTTCATTTCCTTTCTAGTTGAGTGATCATATTCATTCCCTGATGATCTCCTTCCTCGTTAATGTATTCAGCTGATTAAAGTCTAACTTTGGGTGACTTCAACCACTTAGTTTTTCAGAATAAATAATAATCAGAGTGCCTTAATTTGTAATTTCTGACTTTAGCCCCCAAGATTTGCTTTTAGCTCCCCAAGCTGCCACAATGGCCAGAGCTGAGCCAATCCAAAGCCAGGAGCTTCTTCCTGGTCTCACATGTGGGTGCAGGGTCCCAAGGCTTTGGGCCGTCCTAGGCTGCTTTCCCAGGCCACAGGCAGGGAGCTGGATGGGAAGCGGGGTTCCCAGGATTAGAACCGGCGCCCATATGGGATCCCAGTGCATTCAAGGCGAGGACTTTAACCACTACTCTATCGTGCTGGGCCCAAGACTTGCTTTTTTAAAAAAGGTTTTGGATTTATTTGTAAGTCAGAGTGAAGATGAGCTAGGAGTGTTCAGGGTGGTATGGATACAGACTGAAAGTCTATCAGAGAGATCTTCCAGATGGCTGCATGGCGGAGGCTGGGTGGGGCTGGGTGGGGCTGGGCCAAGCAGAAGTCAGAAGCTATGAGCTTCTTATCTCCAAAGTCTTGGGCCATCTTCTGATACTTTCCTAGGTACACTCAGCCAGAACTTGAACTAGCAATGCTGCCATTACAGGCAGCAGCTTTACTCACTATACTACTGTGCCAGCCTCTCCCAAAAGGCTTCCAATCCTGCCACGTTAGTAGTCAGTTCATCTTCCCATTGCAAGATGATTATTTGATGTTTTCTCTTTCATACTTTCAACTCAGCCTCCTCCATGGAGAGTTGCTCTTGCCTTCACTGAGCCAACAGAAATCATTAAGAAGAGAGCTCCTCCCCTCCTAACCACTCTTCCCCTTGCAAAGGAGGAGAAAGCCAGAATGGGTATTATTTTTTGCATTAAATATCTGTTAATTAAAAATCATATTTTAAAAAAGAAGAAAGCTCCTGTCTGCCACCAGATCTAAAAACCCATCCTTGCTGTGGTTCTTGTGACCAAGGCGGATGAGAGCGCCTCCTACCAAAATCCAGGCTCCCGAGGCAGTCCCCAGAGCTACGTCTCCCCTTTTCCAGAACTCATTTCCTTTCTCACCAGCATTATCAGTCTCTCCCTACTGACAGGACCACTCTCTTCAGCTTTAAATTTTTATGCTCTAGTTATTTCCCACCCTCAACAAACAAACAAACAAACAAAAAATCCCTTGATGGCTCCCTGCCACAAAGTTCTCAAAAAAAAAAATCATTTGCACTTGAAGTTCCCAAATTTGTGGTTCTCAGATGAGCCACATTAGTTTCACCTACAGATTTATGAGAAATGTAAATTCTCAGGCACCTCCCTTGAGCTAGGGAATCAGAAACTCTGCAGACACACACACACACACACACTGATATTTAAATAAAGCACCTCCATGGACCAGATCTGCAGGATCTCAGCCCCACAGGACAATTTACATTGTGACAAGCTTTCCAGGTGATTCATTTACCTCCTAAGACTTGAGAGGCACAGACCTGCAAATGACTCATTTTCTCAACTCTCAGTCTTTTTTTCTCCACTCCACTGCTCTTCTCAACTCTGGCACTAAGCCCAAAGGGTCAATTTTCTGGATTAGTAGTTGACATGATTACTACTACTTGTTTTTTTTTTTTTTAAGATTTATTTTATTGGAAAGGTAGATGTACAGAGAGGAGAGACATAGAGGAAGATCTTCTGTCCAATGATTCACTCCCCAAGTGGCTGAAACAGCGGTGCTGCGCCAATCCAAAGCCAGGAGCCAGAAACTTCTTTCCGGGTCTCCCACACGGGTGCAGGGTCCCAAAGCTTTGGGCCATCCTAGACTGCTTTCCCAGGCTGCAGGCAGGGAGCTGGATGGGAAGTGGAGCTGTGGGATTAGAATCGGTGCCCCTATGGGATCCTGGCGCGTTCAAGGTGAGGACCTTAACCATCACGCCATCGCACCGGGTCCCATGATTACCACTTCTGCTTTCTCCAAGCACTTCCTCATGCTGGAG